AACTCCTCAAATCAGTAGTCTTAATTCTCAAGATTTTGACATATTTAATTGTCTTTGTCAAAAGAGTTAATATAAAGAAAGTTTAGTATAAAGGCTGATAAAGCTTCGCGTTCTTTGGGAGTATCCTGTTTGAGTGTTTGTGTACTTATAGTCACATGGCCAGAAAATTCGGACATATTTAACATTCTACTTCCGCCTAAATTTGCATATGGTGTCAAAATAAAGCTTCGTGAGTTTATAGTAAACTGTAATGTGCACAGTACTAAACGCTAAAAATACACCTTTAGGTAGGTCAATTATAATTTGCCTTAATTGCTCGTTGCAGAGCAAGTTAATCTTAATATTTTTATACAGTATTTCAAAATGTTTTATCAGTATTCGTCCTGCATTTTCAAAACAAAGTTTTGGTCATTTATCACGTTGAATACCATATAAAACGAAAACCGTAATAGCGTAGAAATAAAATAAAAATGCAGAGCCGACATAAACCTTTGCCAGCAAAATATTACCTCAGGATCTTCAATATGACACGAGTTACAAGAAACAACCAGGGCAAATAGCAAAGATGCAATGATTTTCTTAAATTTTGCAAAATTTAAGAATGCGTAATATAATTTATAGTTCTGCAAACGAATAATATTTGAACAGATATGCAAATTTGCTACGGCAATCTGCATATTCCATGTCCGCAATTTCTGGCCATGAAGACAATTAGATCATTAGATCCTCAAATCAAATTTTCTTTGCCTTTTCAAATCGCATGCAAGCTCAGGATTCATGTTACGTATAATTACTAATAAACAGAAGAAAAATTGTAATTAAGTGCATGATTGATTCATTTTCGACTAGGAAAAAGTCAATTAATGATTTATACCCGTACTAATTTTGATTTCTACGCTTGTCCTTCGTATTGGTTGCACCTTAAAATATTTCATGCAAAAGCAAACATTGTGAACATTTGGAGAGAGATGTTATAAAGTGTTATGTTTAGCGTTGAAACTCGTTGCATGGATCCATGAAGCGGCAGATTGCCAATAATTGAGAAAGGATGTTCATTGATATAGAAAGAAAAAGTCTTAATCAACTCATCGAAACAGGAAAACTCAACTTAAATATTTAGTTCATGCAGTAGCGCCAGAATGGCTGGCCAGTTTCGAGTGAAGATGTGACCAATTTTTCGGATGCACTTTCCTTTAGAGCGAATACGGAGGTCTTTCGTACGCCCCTGACTTCCCGACTCTATTTGTGCAGCACGAATATCGTATAGTGAGCGCTACTATATGAATACGATTTTATTTCTACCTGAGTATCTCAAGGGATGTCCCTGGTTACCGAGATCATATAAACCGCATCAAAGACGCAGGATAGGCCTTGGATCATACACACGCACAAGCTATTTCCACATGGGAAAGTTAGGAAGTGCAATGGCGAAGATATTCCCCATTTATCGACGCCGCGCTGTCTTTCAGAAAAATCGAACGAGTTGTCTCCAGCCCAGGCGTTTTTGTGGTGCCAAACTGAATCTAGGCGCATCTTTATTTCCTTTTTTCTTTCCTCCACGCCCCCTGCGCCGCCTACACGAACGCATGCAGACGATTATTCAGCTCAATGCTGTTCTTCCACATAAATCACGATGGTCTTCGTGCAAAAAAAAAAACTGACTGAATACTACGCAAGATGCTTTCGCATAGCCCTGAAAAGTGAAAAGTCAGCAAAAGAAATTAATAATTTTGCAAAAAGGGTAATTTTGTAAAAAAAGAGCAATGATTAACAATTCTAGAATGGCGAATGGCGTTAACTATGTTATGTTTAACAAAATTGACAAACTTTTTAAAATTTTCAGTTAAAATATTTTGTATTAATTCATTACAATGCTTCTTCTTGTTGTGGCGATTTAGTTGCAAAACAATACAAGCTATAGTTAGGAAATATATTTCATGTGGGAATTGTCTGATGTTTTTTTGATGCCGCCATATAACTGAATAATTACGAGCGGGAAATGGCAACATTTAACACTGTCGCACATATATTACTTAAATATATTTGATTCCATTTCTCACTTAGCAGATAAAGACCTTTTATAGTTATTTAGCCATAAGTTGCCTTGGCCGTTGGACGATAATGAGTGAATAACTGCTTTCGTGATATTGAATGCAGTATATACTATGTATATGACTATGAGAAAACTAACTTCCTAGCATCGTAATTTACGCAGCTTTAAAGTCGCGACTAGACCGGCGATTTTTGACGGTGATTTTCTTATCATGCATGGAGTATGTTATTGGTGTAATTTAGCGAATTAGTTTCCTTTCTTCGCAAATATTATATACAACTGTGCACATAATTCTCTCAATAACATACGTTAGAAAGAAAATACATCGCCAACAGAAATTGGTCGTGTAAACAATTATATAGCCTGTCTCACGATGACGAACATGCCGCCATTTTGGGGTACTTTTTTCAAAAACCGTGAGCGTAAGACTTGCTAACGGCGACTGTCTTCATTTTTAGGCTGAATTTATTCTTTAAACAGTGTGTTTGTTTATTCTAAAAAAATTACTTTTGATGTTAAAACAATTTTTAAACCCATTTCAGAAATTTGAAAGTACCTCAAAACGTCATCGTAATGAGAAAGGCTAATTCTGTGTATTCATGCACAGTATGCATTCCTAACATACGTTACATAACCACAGCATGTAAGAATATATTTATAAAATTCGACCATAAAGAAATTATAACTAGGTCCACTCAGGAGAATGGGTTTCCTGAGTGTGACCATAGACAATCCAAAAGACATGTCTTTTGGATTGTCTATGGTGTGACTCAGTATGGATCGAGACTGACGGATTTGACTCGACTGACATGACTTGCGCTTGCGGTATACTTTTTCAAATAAAATTTATATTGTTAAGTTTTTGCTTTTACTGGACGTTTTGCCATTTTCGTTGAGACGTGAAGCAAAATATATTTCTTGTATATCAAAGCTATATTTTCGTGAAGAAAAAATTGCGTTTGTTTACCTTTGAAATTATTGTCAATTATGAATTGTTGTTATAAAATAATCCCAATATAGTAAATTATTAAAATGGCATAAAAATTGCGCGAATTCCCGATTCTGCGATAGACGTGAATAAAAATGTGTTAAAATATGTTTTAAATATTATTCATTCCCGGTAAAGCTGGTTAGCTATGTATATATTATGAATGTAATTTCCGGGGGTAATCAGTAAATATTTTCATATTTCACAATTTTTCATTACAATCATACCTCAACTGGTAAATAATATATCAGTTCACTGGTTTGAAAAACGGTCCAAGTCTCCAAGACCAGAACGAAACATCAGTATTGGCATTGGACATGACGCCATTCACACCGTCACAGGGCATTAATTGTATAGCTACGTACTTATGTAGGAACGACTTTTAATGGTAATGAAAAACAAAATACAGTAGTCCCCCGCTAACTCGAACTCGCTTAACTCGAACTCCTCGCTAACTCGAACTAAATCCAATTCCCCTTGAATTTGATAGTGTTTTTTATAGTAATTTACTCCGCTTAACTCGAACTCGCTTAACTCGAACTCCTCGCTAATTCGAACAAATTTTGTTTCCCCTGCTCAAATATATCCGGTTAACTCGAATTTTGGTTTCGAATCATAGATCAGCAAACTTTAAAATGTGAGAAGATAGAATTTTGACAACTGGAAACTATCAAAATAACAACAAGTTAATCCATGTATATAATTGTATGTAAATGCTTATAAATTTTAAAAGATTTTGTGTGGTGCTACGGTCGTTATTGATCTAACTTTTTTAGTTCCTTTTGTATTCTTTCGATCTTTTTAATTTTAAACGTCGTCCACTCTCGCTGAACATTCATATTGGGAGGCCTGGTATCCCTTGAAGAATGATTCGATTGGATTTTATATCTTATTGTATTACTTATATAATAAACGTAATCTGACACCAACTCCGGTTAACTCGAACTCTCTGTAACTCGAACAATTTTTCTTTCCCCTTGGGAGTTCGAGTTAGCGAGGGACTACTGTACTGTCGCAGTGTTTTTTCGGCTTAGTTTGGGCTGATACCCGCTTAATTACAATAATTCAGGCCTGGTTACATAGTAATTCGACATCGGATTAGCGTACGAAAAAAAATTACCAGTAACGTGATCATCTTGGTAACACTCATGAGTCATGGCACACAACTCACAAGACGCAAACTCGGTTACGGTGATATTTCAACTTTATTCAGATTTAGGGCAAGTAAAAGAAAATGGAGAGTGAATGTTGAGATGATATGGAATGCGAAACTTTTTTTCAAAACAACAGATGAGGTTGATAGAAAAAGCGCTAGTGCCTTGAAAACTATTATTGTAATATTGAGAGTTGTTTCAAATGATTGTCATCGGCGAGGGTCGCAACCTCGCACGAGTAAAGACCGTGCGTACAAGGTTTTGAGAGTCGAAGCTGTTACATGTCATTGTCAGTATTTAATTTATTAAAACGTGTGTCTTTGAATGCGTTTTTTTAATGTCAGCGGACAGCAGTTCAAACAAATATACCAAATTCCAAATCTCTTAAACCAATTTTGTATTTAGTTCCTATTAATCACTGCTGTTCATTGTTTTTAATTTTGTTTCCGTTACGTGCGCCCGCTTATAGCATCATGAAGCACAGTATCCTGTTCGATACTCAAAAACAAAGTAATTTCAATATTGGACTTTAAAATTTTCCACGCCGTTCTCCTCCCACTCCTTATAATCCTGATACTAATAGCATCTTTGTAGATTTGTTTCATTTAAGCTTTTTCCGCCTTCCTATTTATTCAGCAAAATGTCAGAAATCCACACAAAGTCAAAGGTTATTTCGGCCATAAATTCATTAAATCGCCAAATGTTGACATTCCTCGCCACTCCTTCGTGAGTTGCAATCGGAAATGGTCGTACGATCTCGCTTCTATGACGTCAAAAATTATGATAATTATTTCGATTTTATTATCAAGCATCGAAGCGAAGAGAAATACAAAGCGTGTGGCTTTGTGCGTGGGGAAAGACGTATTTATCACAGAATCGGCAATATTTTCAAACTTAAGCATGTGTTGTGAAAACTCCTAGAACAATCTGGATTCAATGATGTTGGACTTACAGTTATTTCGTATACATTGGCCGAGATGGATCGAGCATATTGTCAGGAATTAACGGAATGTTTGTGGCGAGTGAATTTTTGATCTGTGATCTCGTCCATATGACCAGTGCGTAGAGTTTTGGCGCGTTTGGATTATAACACACAATGTCCTGTGCTAAAGTTATCAGCAGAAAGCTACACGAAAGTTACGATTCTGAATGCTTGTACCAGGGAGAGTTCCTACAACTTGACAACGATTTGCAATATATTCGCCATGCCCGAATGTTTGTAATGAGAGATCGAATCTGTCTGGCGTCTTTAGACCATGAGGATGGCGATTGTAGTATTAATAATTGCTTAGAAATATCTCGTTCATGTGTCAACATTGACTTTGTCAAGAATTCTCCTTATACGTTTAAATTGAATGTAAAACACCCGGAGAATGATACCAATGTTTATCAATTGTGCGACAGACAAGACTCGTGGCCAGAATTTCTACGATCCTTTGATTTATACGATAACGTTGAAGAAACAAGCAATAGAAGAGTTCTGCCAAAAGTCACTTTCGATGAGATGGATGATTATATATCTGATTCGGAAAGCGAATGTTCATCACTAAGCGAAGGCAGCAGTGCAGATGATATTGGCCTACCACGATATTTTACACTTCGTGCTGGCCAAGGTCTTGGCACGATGTCTATGTATAATGTAAATAATGCCATGATGATGATGAATCCCGGCCATGTACGCAGACTTAATAAAGATACTTCGAATCGTCGTGGTTCGATAGACTTTTTAGGCTTACCCTGCAGTGAATCGGACGAAAGTCTACGGCATTCAAATTCTTATCCGCAGCTGAACTGTAATACAAAAACAGAGCGAAGTAGATCTCTGCCAAACCTGACAGAATTAGATAATGTTTTAGTGGATCATGATTTGAGATATGGCAGCTTTAATAAACCAAAACGTATTGGATCAGGATATAATATACATAGACATAGACATAGTGATGATGAAAGAACAGCACAATTCCTGTCATCAGTGGAGTATAGAACAGAATATGGTAAAAGAAATGCAAATAATCATAGAGAGCTCTTTCTAAACGAACAAATACGAAAACTTATTGCTCAGCCTAGTAGCATTAAGTTTTGTAATACTGCTGGAAGAACTCAGGATAAAAACGAGAATAAGCTTGATCCCATATGTGAAAGTGTAGCACAGGAACATTTCGCTGAGCCAAAATCCCCAACAGAACAGCCTAAAACAAGAGCTATCGAAGTCATAGATTCTGCTGGTGGTAAATTCAAGCTATCTTTAAAACGATTCTGGAAGCGCCGAGACAAACTAACTATTAACAAGTCTGGAGTTAAGTCGGATGTGACAGTTCAACAAGAAAACGATCCGGAACATGTTGTTTTTATTAATAAACTTGCTGTGGATTATAAATGCAACAATGTACAGTCCATGCCCAGCTATGCGGTGTCCAGCGATAGACGAGGAGGGCTAGGCTCTGATGTGAGTGGAAAAAAAGAACAAGTAAATATATCTACTGTTACGAAACAAAAAGATTGCGTCTCCCCAACAGGTAAGGAGAGTCACATGAATTTGTTGATTGTCATATGTTTGCAGTAAATATTAGGAAATCGTTGACTTCATTCGACTGACTCGCAGCTGCAAATAACCCTTTCTTATTTTACAATTGACATCATTACGTGGGTTTTAATCCATATTTAAATATACTGCCTCTGTAATGTTGCAATTATGGACAGGAACGAAACCGGAATTTTGGAAGATCATGCTCTCTTATATGTATTCGACCATTTCTACGTGCACTGTAAACGGGCATGTTTTGATCCTGTTATATCCTATCCAAAGGCCTTCGCGAACAATACCGGTTTGATGATTTTATGCTACACGCTTGACAATTGGATAAAAGTTCATGGCGTGTCCCACAAGTATCGCTGTGCATTATACATAAAAATCCCTATCCTTATCGCTTCATATGCACGTGAAAAAGTCATTTCGAAGTATGCTTCGCAAATAGCTCTAAATATTTCCCATGTCTGATCATGCATGCCTGCAATATATAGCTGAATATAAAACTTTGTTTACATCTTTTCACATGCAATTTAGGCGAAGAATCACAAGTACATGTTGAAGTATAAATTCTTTAAATATCCTATAGTATAAATATGCGTTGTGTAGTAAACAGCAAAGGCGTCATGCTAGGCTCTTTCGGAAGCATTAATATTTTAAAATCTCCTTCATGTGTTTTGAATATTTCTCATGTTTTTATCTGGAATACGTTTTTGTTTAGTAAAAGCGATGTAGGATTAGTTGAGGTCTTTTGTTATGTCCCTGTAACATCTGTTAACAGTCAGCAATAAGCAATAATAACATTTCAATGGGGACTTTGATGTGTGGCGGTATACGCTAGAAGCTGTCAATTTAAAGCATTTTCACACCCTTTGTTGCTTTGATTTATACCCCTAATCTCATTTGGGTATCCTAAGAGTATATAACTGCTTTTGTTTAATGTTCCCAGCCAGAAAACAAGATTTTCTAGCACTTGCCTACCTTAGTTATGAAAGAGTTTAAATAGTTATAATTTTCAAAAGTACAAACATAATCCAAGAGCATCATTTCTAAGGCTCCCTATTGTTCCACAACATACCACCCACTGCAAATGTAATTAAAAGCATTTTGGTGTTGATACTTTCATGCAACTGTTTAGGTTTCGCCTAACTTTGTATTTTCATTGAAAACTCTTAAACTTGGTTTTATTTCAGTACACATTATGAAAGGCTTTGATATGTTAGTTTTGCTTCAGAGGGGCAAAGATCAATCTAGAAAGTGATTAATTATTTACTTAGTTCATCATTTATGAGGCCATTATATTTTAAGTCATGAAATGAAATATCTTTAGTGAATATTTCAAGTTCTGGCAATGGGATTGCCTGTTTCCTGTTTAAGTAAAAAGTATTCCCATTATTTTGTTTTAACCATTGATCAAATAGAAATCAAAGTGCAGTAAAAAATCATATGTTCACAACCTAAATAATTTATGCAATTAACGCTTGATTGTTCCAGACATTGTTGGAACATACAAGATTGCCGAATAGAATTGCCAAATTACTACAGTATTATGACAGATGTTATTTATGAATGCTTACTGTCCATGCACTAGTAGAATGAAAGAGATCTGATATTGATGTATATTAAGTTTTGTTCCCTTCTTTGCAAATATTGACTAGTTACAATGCATATATGTATTTTAACTACAATACTGTTGCTTTTGAAGCAATACTTCTGGAAGCTTTCAGCATATATACTGTACATGACAGTTTTTGATGTACTGGAGTCTGAAGCTGGAGGATTTTTTTAGCAAATTGCACTTGATGTTGCCATAGCTCAAAGCACTTCAAATATTTTATTTTCTCCTCCAAATTGGTACCTACTTCCTCAATGAATTATTTTTAGGATAAAGGCTATTACCTGTTTTTAAGGCTATTGGGGCTCTAAACTTAACCTGTATATTTCTAAATGTGGACTTCCCAAGTTCAGGGAAAGTCAGGCTTGAATGATTTCATGGTTATCTCAAAATCTACAGGAAGTTATATGATATAGGACCAGCCTGTAGTGTCTCTACCTAGCACGAAACAAGTATTTGGTTGAAACATTGAGCAACTGAACTAAGGCTTAAGGGTTTTAAAAGTCTCAAAAACCTTGTATACCAATCTGAATATATTTTCAAAATATTGTAAATTTGTAATACATCTTGTATGTGTTGAATGTAAGACTAACAACTTTCAGTCTACCATGGTACTTGAAACTGTCAAGATATGTTTCCTCCTCCCCAGTCATGCATCTCTATACTTTGTTATTTTAAACAAGTGAAGCATCGAAATACATAAGTAAAATTATTTCTAGATATTTTTCACTTGACCATGTGTAGTTGGAATGTTGGCTGTAAAACTGTACATTAACTGTGGAAATGCAGGTGGCACAAAGGATAATCTTCTTTATTTGAATTAGACTTTGTAATTAGCTTTTAAATATTGTGGTAAAAGTAATTTTAACTATGCAGGTGAATTGTAAGCTACAGTATTCCTAAATCAGTATATTTGCTGTTAATAACATAGCCATCATTTTACATTGCTTTTTATATTTTAATTCCCTCTTAAAATACTGTAATCAATAATAGTGGCTGTGGCGAAGGTGTATGAACTGAAATAACCCTAAGCTGGCTGATGTATTTTGGTATAACTTTAAGGCTAATCTATTTCGGTAAAAGTTCTAAGCAACAAGACTAAGTGTTTAATTTTATCATTTACTACAGGAGTCCAACAAAAGGAGAAATCCAAGTTAACTCCAAATTCCCAGCCAACCTTCACAGGTATGTTGTGTATATAGTCTAGTCTGCTGACAGTCTAGATCAGGTTGTTCCTTATTGCGTCTAACAGTTCACTTAATCATACATGTACTGTACAGTACACAACTTGAGTATCCACTGCAATATCAGTAATAATGTATCGTATATATCATAAGTGAAATGTTTTTCCCAAAATGTGTAAGTAGAATTCTTTAAAAGTATAGTTTACCTTAATGTAAACGGAAGTACGCTTGCGATTATTGCATTTTTACGGTTAACAAGTGTTGAGTCTGTGAGAGATCTTTTTCACATTTCACAGGCCGAACAGCAAATAGCATTTGTTTCAGACAGGGATATTAGAGAAATAATGAGCTAATTGACAATTGTAAAGTAAATATTTGAATATCGTATAATTGCTCGCGTTTTTAAAGTTCAAGTTCATTGTTTACGAACAGATTTCCTGCTAACCTTCAAATCAAAAGTGAAAATTGATTTATGATAAAGTTAATTTCCCGGACAACAAATTCTCCCGGCCAACAACAGTTTTTTGGCGGGAAACGTGGATTTCGGAATACATACCTACAAATTTTTAAATTGCGTATTCATGCACAAACAATTTTACTCTTAAATTATTAAATTTCTTGTTGGCAGTCATATTAATAAAACTAGACATCTCAAGATCGACATAACACGTCAATATTGACAACGAAGGCGACTAATAATAAATGAAATGAATATTTATAGTCCCATGGGACTTTTCCAGACGTCGTGAACGCTGTTTACAAGGCGGCAAATCACAAATTCTCACGGCTTATATTGAATGCCTGAATTTCAAGCCTTATAAAGTACAACCTTAAATTCGGTTTACTAGAAGTTTTTCCAGCTATTTTTCTCATCCTTTATAATCGTTCCAGATCATACGATTGACTATGAACGATAATTTTCATCTTCAGCTATATATGCTGAAAGAATTCATTTTAACAATCGTCGTCGAGTTGCCGTCTTGTATATAGTAGATCTAGTGCTAGATCTTATAACCTTTGCTTGCATACTGGACTTGCCAGGATTTAAGTTGTTTACCATTATATTCAGTTTATTGAGTTCATAAAATTGATTAATTTTAGTCCAATTTGTTTTTCCTTATTATGGACACTTTTAAAGTCTCTCATTTCGACAAGTAAATTCTACTCATGAACAACTGTCTAAAACATACAAGAAAACTTCTTAGTATAGTACATGACAGCGTTTCGGCTGATGAATGTCTTCAGGAGGGTTTGCGTGACAATCTGTGTGAAAATTAACTCTTTTTGACGAGGGCCCTTAGGTAGAAACGTCTAGAATTTTTTATGCAGTTACTCAGCCTCAATTGATAAGAATTTATTTTCAAGTTATTTTTCCTGTGTAAATATCAGCCTTAGCGGCAATTAATGTTTTTAGTTCCGGTAAATATATACCTATAACTTAGGCCCGTTTCAGACCTTGAAATTTTCATGCGCCGAATCGAATGCAAATGAACTTAGACAAAGACTTTACCTCGATAGCCGAATTCATATTATATAGGGACGGGAAGCTCATCTTATAGACGGGAAAGTTGATACTAAAAGTAAAAATCCGTCTGAATATCAATAGGGATGGATAAATTTATACGTACGATGTGTTAGGGTAATTCTAAAAAGGGTGTCGTAAGTATTACGATAATAATTTTGTTTATTTCCCCTCAGGCTTAGCGTTGTTCCATCCTCGAACATTTTGATATTGTAGAAACTCGTCTGATTTTTCCGTCAAAATACGAATTTTCCGTCAAAAGACGGGTCTCTCGTCCAGACGGGATTCCCGTTCAATTTACCCGTCTTTTCAGACGGGAAAGTTAGATATAGGAAAATTCGGACAAGAAGCCCGTTTGTGACCGGATTCACATCTGAGGAGTTTCCCGTCTTCGATGAGTTTCCCGTCTCTAATATGAATTCGGCTAATAAGATAAGATCCGGCACGTGAAAAGTTCGCCCTTGCATGAAATGTGGCCTTTAACTTATCATTAAATCTCAATTCAATTTTTAGGCAAGGATACGATCAGAAAGAAAATTGTTAAGCGTGTTCTTTCTCCTTTCACTATTCTTCGTTCCGTATCAGAAGAAGAAAAAACCATCAACGACCTTCCGCCAACGGAGAGCGCCGGCTACGAAGGGAAGTGTGATGACGTATTAGTCGAAGTTCGTCCGAAGAAACTACTCGATATGAATCCTTTATATCTTGCTCAAGAACTGTGTCTGATTGATAAAGAACTTCTCGTTCGCATACCTTGGATTGAATTATCCACTTGTGGCTGGATGACAAAACACAAGGTAATAATTTACCGTTCATTAACTGGCTGTGTATATAACAAGGATCAACCATTGATATCAAGGTGATATAATACTGTACTATTTTACCTGAATTTGCAAAGACGAATTTGCAAACTCCAGGGTACAGTTTCCGTACACATTTCTGCTGGAAACCCTGATCTCAGAAATTCTTGCCTTGTTTGTCCGCATAAAGCCCGGTTTACACTATCAAATTTTCTGTGATCACAGTTTCAGTGAATTTTCCAACAACAAGTCCTACGTTTTTAAGGATTCGTTGGAAATACTGGAGGGAACTGTTACACTAATTAACGCTAAGTTATTTTATCCTAATCAGTACAAAATGTTTAAAACTTTTGATTTAACAATGCAAAATTGCAACTGTGGTCACAGAAACTTTGACAGTACAAACCGGGCCTTATAATCGTTAATCCTTAAAATCTTTAAACCTTGTACATTGTTTATTATTGAAGATAGTTTAACTTAACGATAACATGATATTGAGATTTGTCCATTGATGTTTAGTACCAACGTTCTCCAAGTGTCATGGCAATGGTGGAGTTTTTTAATCGCATTGCTCTTCTTGTTGCTTCGGAAATATTGTTCGAAGTTGATCCTCAGATGCGAGTTCGTGTTATCTCTAAAGTTATTCAGGTTTGTGCGATGTCACTTAAGTTATTCATAAATACAGTTACTATAGCTAGGTCAGTGAACCACTTTTCAGTTTTCAACTCGATCTCCGTATATGTTTACTCTCGATCAATATATATGCCACAGCTGTGTATCTCTGTATATTTGTGAATAAATGGAATGTTCACAGGAAATGCGTACATACATGTGAATATCCGACGGTTCATGGCTTTTATTGTGATTGTGCTACTCTGACTTACCCACCGTACAAGCTGAAACATTTGTTTGAGGACAGTGGAAATCGTGACCCGCGACCAAACGTTTTCATCTTGCCAGGTTTGGTAACTTAGAATAGCACAATCACAATATTAATTCAGACACAGGTTTAAGGTTTGTTTGACCATCTGCGTGCATTAATACGTACAACTCAATACATTAATGCGGCGTTACACTATATTCAACTTTCCTTGCAAATTTAATGCAATTCTACTCCTGAGCCATTCTTAACACTCTTCACAAATTACAATAACAATACTGTGACATCCCTCGAAATTATAATTGCATTGCAAGTTGCAAGAAAAATTGCATAGTGCGAACAGCGCCTTTTAAAAACATGTGTATTGATGTTGTATAATTTATGTTTTACTCATAGGTCGCTAACAAACTTCGTACAATGGGTAACTTCAACTCCCTAAAAGCACTTCTGGGTGGTTTGCAATGCACGCCAATCTACCGTCTCAAGGAGACTTGGAAAGAAGTGTCTTCAAAACGGAAAAAGTAAGATGCATGTTTACTGTAATATGCTGTAGCTATATAGCGAACATGCATGATAGCTTGTAAAAGCGTATATTCAGTCCTGTCGCAACGAGGTGTCCAGAGTGGGGTAGGGAGCGACGTTATGCAAAAAAATTCCTACTTAAGCCCAGCAAGTCTAAAATTTGATCGTTTTGGTGAGATACCGCAATCCCCTGACTCATTCGCCATGCCTCTGCCTAATAATGACGTTAATAGAAAATCTTCTGCCATTAAAAGTGCATACTTTCGTTAGTAAAGTGAATAAATCCCATTATGATCGAATTAAAATTTGTGACTAAAACATCTGCTGTCTTTTTTCAGGCACTTCCGCGAGCTGTCAAAGCTAATGAGCGAGGAAGATAACTTCGCTGCGTATAGAAATGAGGTGGACAATCTGATGAACCAGAAATCCCCGTGTCTACCATTTCTCGGTGATTTCCTGACGCAGATTGCCCAGACGCAAACGTACTTGGCTTGTCGCAAGAAGAAGAGCCCTGAACCTCCAAAGAATCGGAATTCCTCCACAACAGAAAGCGACGCGAGCCCGACAACACCAACACCTCAGAGTATCGTGAAACAGTCGTCAAGAGGGAAGACGCCTTCTCGAACGAGTTTGGTTAAAAGGCGAAGTACCTCGGTTAAAGTCAATGATGTCCGCTTTTCCAAGTCTTCCCCAAACCTCCCCGCGTCATGCACTCGGACTCCCGAGAGACCGTCTCATTATCGTTCTACTCGATTCCGAAGATGTCGGAGTTGGCAGCACAGTAACGATAGCGGAATACAAGTGAACAATAGCAATAACTCCAGTTTGTCTGCAAGCTCAGCGTCTTTCTTGACCAGTAATACGTCACTGGGTAGCGGTACGTTTGGATTTCACCAAAAAAATGGGACGACCGACGATCGCTCCGGGAATTCAAAACAACAGAACCTCGGCAGGTCTACAAGTACACCGACATCCGTTAAGAATTCTATGAAATTAAAACTTCGTCGTAATCAAAGTGTTTCCGACAAGTGTCTGGCGAACTCTGACAGTGGAACTAGTTTAAAAACAAAACTTTCATTCATGCGTTCGTTTCGACGAAGTAAAAGCATGGATCAGTCACCATCCAGTGCTGAGAGTATACAGAGATTGTATACTGCTAGAACGGAGAACGGAGGAAGTCCTGGAAAGACTCCTGACGTGAAAGACTCTGGTCGCGTTCCTGATGCCAAAGACACTGAAGAAACAGGTACAACACTCTTTTATTTGCTATAATTTCAGGCATTACGCCATTTTTGCCGGCCTAGTTCATTGAATTCGCCTTCTGATTGTATTATTAAATTCGGATTAGTTTCGGAATTATTTGCGCCTAAAGTTGATAACTTTAAGTTTGGTGACATTCCCTGCTGAAACACCATCATCAGCTGATTAGAACCACTGAACCAGTGACGAACACAAGTTGGATAGGGTAAGGACATGAACGTCTCCTAAGTCTCCGCGGCCGCTAAAGGCCCCGCGACTGATGTCGCCATTGGCGTAGTCAACGCTAGAATAGATAAATAAACATCACAAAAGTATGCATGACTGTTACGCTACTGATTAGAACCAGTCAAATGTACTTGATATGCTTTCATTAAACGATTATTGGAAGACACCTTATTTTCAGAGAACCGAAATACTAGAATTCATTCAATCGCTTTATTTTTCATAGGTACGGAACTACAGCTCTGGCATTTCCATGTTGCTGCGATCCAATACAGCTTCCCTAGTCGATCTCCTGTCAAAGACTTTTTGCTTTCAACAGCATTTAACTCTGAAGAGGACAACTACAAACTGTCGTTGCAGAGAGAACCGCCTGCCAAGAAATCTTCTCCATGAGCAGATTTTTTATTTCGCCGTAAATATGGCTGCAAAGAGTATATATATATTGAGATATATGCATCATATTTGATGTGTGATATAGAGTATATAACTTGTATTTCAACGCAGAGTATGTATGTTCACTCTTAAAGAGTTTGGCCTATTTGTAAATATTTGGTTTTAAAATATCTGTATTTCAGGAATGCCGGGGCAAATATTTTAACTCCGTATAATAAATGTCTCAAATTTATCAAAACCGCTTCTGTTTGCTCTTTAGTCTGTTTTTTTTTAACTGAAATTGACAAGCACGATTCTCAGCAATATTATAAAATACATATATACATATTATACAAAAGACTGCGGTGACATTTCCATACGTAATTAATCCTCTTCACCAACCACCACATGACTGTATTTTTTAACTAACTAAAAGCTGGTTTCCACTCAGGAAAATTCTCCTTTGGATCGGACAGGACAGGAAAGTTTTCTTTGTATATTCGCCGCCTGAGAACTCACCGACAAAGGAAATTTTCCTGTCCGTTCCGATCCAAAGGAGCACGCATGCTATTTGGTAATCCTGCAGTATTTATATAATTTCCTGTGATTGTGGAAGCAATCATTATAAAACCATTCCTATCTCCACCCCCTCTCTCCGGCTCCGACCAATTGGGATTAAAATTGAATATTTTAAGCCAAAGGAATTAGGAATAATGGTAAGATGCCACTTTTTTCTCTTTCTGGCGAATGTGAAATAGCGGCTTCATACCCATCATCTTGTTTACTGCCTCGAGTTCGAGTCTCGAATTCCTTTATTTGTAAAGAATGCAAATTGTTTAAGTTCTCGTCCAGCTTATTAAAAACAATAGAATGCATTATTTGCCAACGGCGACCAATCAGAGGCAGCGAATTGGGTCACGTAGCGAGGGAAATTTGAAGCATTGATTTGGGCGTGCTTGAATACAACACACATGCAGTCATTCAAAAATATTCGTTGTTGAAAGAAGACGTTTTGGGCAAATTTCTGCGGAGAAAACTAAAAGAAGCGAACGTTTCATGATCAACGAACAAGACGTCTATCTTGTTTGCGCTGTAGAAGGGAATATCTCTACAGGTAAAAGCAAGTGATTTCTAAATGTTCTCCGCTACGGATCGACGCGTTTTGTTGAATTTGAACGGCAAACATTAGCATTGTGCTTTGGGCGTGAGCATATAAAATAGGTTTACGAATTTCTTTTCTTCTGTATTTGGAACTATATGTAATGTGTAAACTTACAATGATTTTGTTTTGCTGAATTTGGTGAAATTTATTGATTTTTTTAAACTAAAACTAAGTTTAATGTTGACGCAGTGAAGGACACGAAGCGTATATAGTCTATACTCAGTCGGGTTTTGGTTATCATTCTATGGTTTTGCCTATGGCCATTAAGGCAGTCGATGTGGAGGCCGGGTATAAATGTAATAGAGATGGACAGTTTTTCGTCTAAGGATCACTCTAAGCATCTAAGATATAACTTTGAGTCTTTGACGGATAAAATATACCCACAGTGCCGATAAAGCCAAACTTAAAACCCCCATTAAACTTGCATAATTAACGTTACTGAATACAGCAATATCATGCAATGGCGTGTTATAATATTACATCAGAATATCTGTAGTTCCGCACGCGTAAGGTCCAGATGATAACTATATAATTATAAATTATTTTGATATGCTTTTCATCAGTTATGTATATTTAGATTTAATTGCGAAATTTGATAACTAATTTCGTTTCCGTTTTTCGACTTTTTAGAAAGAATCGTTCGCTTCAACGAAGGAAAAGCCCTAAGAAAGGTGACTAGAGGCAATCCCTAAGTGCACGCAAATGCGAAAACGTTTCTACTAAAAAATTACACGTGCCACTTTTAAGGTCAAGGAAATTGATGATAGCAAGTGAGACTTCAATGGGGTGAGGGCTTGTGGGTTATTTTATTTTTGTGCATTGTTGGCCTTTTGTGCAAATTTTAGATGCTTTCAGGATTTCAGTTGTGCTCTTGAAGTAGGAATCTTTGTGGTCGTTCTTGTGACCTCCCAGTTCAGTTACCTGCACCAAAGCATGCTTCGAACGCTTGACTGTGTTGTTGATTTTCCCCGGGTGTCAGTTGTGTGCATGTGGGGGGAGGCGCCGCCTTTCGTGTGTACATCTTTCGGGAGGCCTGCGGGCCCAACTGATATTCAGGGAGAGTCGGCATCACAGCCGAGTGTCCGGAGCGTGTTTCGGTGCAAGCGACTGAACTGCGAAGTCACTGGAGTGTTTACGAAAGCTTGTATTTTAAGAGCACATCTGAAACCTCAAAAGTATCTGGAATTTGAACGGAAGGTCTACAATGTACAACGATGGAATAATTTGCAGAAACTTTCCAGATTGAAGTCTGGCTTGTTTGAGTCTTTGGAGATGTCCTTTTGATTGGCATTTGTACACGTTCCCAGACCTTTGCTATATGCTCATGGTCAAATATCAGCCTTTTTTTCCAGACCTTGCTAAATGCCCACGGTCATTTTTGAGATTCACTTTAAGACAAAGCTCTGTGCCTTCGGTGACTGAATATCAGACCTGCTTTTCGGACCACGGTCATGTTATGCATTTTTGCAGACCTTAATAAATTATATGCTCTCAGCCATTTATTTATTTGTACAATTTGTTATACGAGTTAGGGTAGAAATTCAACACGCGAGTCATTTCTAACGGGAACATTTTCTCTCCTTGTTTGGCATTTGATACGAACATTATTCATGAGGCATGCAATGTGATGATGCCTCGACTATTGCGTTATATTCTGTCTACCTTCCTTGAGTTTCAATTTTCGAACTAAACAGTATAAGCTTACAACCAGTTGGATTTGACTGACTGCTTCTATGATGAAATACGGGTGAAAGGGGCCCCTCATTTGTATTTCTGTGTTGAAGCAATAACTATAAGCAAAACTATCCGCATGACAAACGATCTTTGCAAGGGGTTTACAGTATATAATGCTTTAGTCATGCACCATCGGTTTAAAATGAAAAAAAACACACGCAAGTATTCATGATACATGCAGCTTGCATCAAAATGCCTAAAATCTTGAGAAACTAAATGTAGGATTTCCAGTTGCGTTCTGGCTATATGCAGGGGAAAAAATTCATTTCAACCATCTTGAAAAAGAACAAGGAATTTTTAAGTATTATTTTGGCTTAGGATTTTCAACAAAAATGTAGGTCAAATTGCATTTGCGCGCGTGTGTGATTGCCTTTACATCCGATCTTAACATAAAGTATCAAGTGGTGATGAAATAAAAAGTGAATGAAATCATCAGCCATGGAACAACATGTGAGGAATGAAGTCAAGATATCGGATGAAATGAGGTCAAAATGTTTCTGTTGGCTAAAACTGAACATTCTAAAGATGTTAACACTGGTCCAGCAACAAACCGCACAAAACTGGATTGATGATCTTTCCACGCCAGAGAAAGACTGTTGACGTATCATATACTGCTATCAAGGTTCTATGCTGAGACCTGAACTGAAGTCTGAACTACGCGAACTGAAGTTCTAAAAGCGACTGAACAAAATTTCCGAATAACGAACTGTTCACGATTTTTCCACGCGTTACCTTCCAGCAAGACGACCGACGACGAGTTTCGACGGCGACGACCGAGGACAAATCGACGACCGATCGACCACCACCGATACGACGACTTCCTGTGAGACGACGTCAAAGAGATGACAGATGAAGATGATGACTACTCTCAGGTTCATACTACAGGTTATACTACTGTTGTTCAACTCGAATCCAGGACTTCAGTTAATTTGAATTTCAATCAAAAGGCTATTGTGAGTCCGGTTCGAGATCTCCTGGTGGTTTAGTCAAATTTGTTACACACTTGGTTAACTCTTCCCCACCTCTTGGCATGCACGTTAAATTTGATCTGATTGTTGAAACTTGTCCCGTGTAAACATTGGCTATCGTAAAATTTCAAAACTTGGTGCATGGTTTTCAAGGTAAAATCTGAAATGAAATTGAGAGTTAAGGTGCATGGTTCCTCGGTCGCACGTGCGAGGTTTGAGTTAGTTGCATGCATGCATGATACCTCAACTAGCTATGTTTGGCATAAAGGTTTTTGAAAAAATTTCGGCCGCGCAAAAAGAGTTGGCGGAATCAGATTCCAACTTGGTAATCGACGACGACTTTTTAAAAGCAGCGCGCGTAGTCTTTTAAACCACCAGGAACCTCTGAGGAAGACCAAGCACAGCCGCAAAATTCGTTTAAAAACTGGTTTGCAAACATTTAGCTTGCATGGTTGTTCTTGATCTTCAGTCAGACGAGCGGTATCGTAGTGCGCGCGTTCGGTCAACGTTGTGCTCCGAGATATTTTTCACTTAGAATCTAAACTGAAAGCTGTCTTCAGGAATACACGTTATAAGCGCCGTTAGCAGCATTTTTCCATTTGAAAAATTGTTGTGGCGCCAAGTACCAAGCTGTAATGATTTTTCGCGCTGGAGCACCTGCTCTGTAGTGTTCTCAATATGGAGCAGAGTGTCTTCAGCTGCACGCTGCGCACTTTCGGATGAAGATTTCTGCCTTTAAATCTTCGCCGGAGTAAGTGGAGTTCGCACGGTCTGACTTAGGAACTATTGACGACACGATTAAAACAACTGTCACAATACGTAATCTGTTTCGGCCGACAACGACATTCATGCATGATCCGGATTCATTCAGACCGTTGACGCGGCGCTCGCAAATGCAGCGAAAATTAAAAAATAAATGAAATGAAACGGGTGATATCGATACTTGGTACTTGAATACTTCCGTGAATCGTAATTCTGCGGGAACATACAATTGTGTAAACGTTGGAATGAAAATTCGATGAGAGTATGCGACGCACTAAATGAAGAACGGCATTTTAAGGCTAAAATGTTGGTTCTGCGCACGAAGGATGGATGGGAGTTTGACTGACGAACAATCATCATATAAGGGAATGGCAACCCAGTTTGTGGAGGATCACCAGGGTGCGATGTAGGATGCACTATAGGTTAAGTTAGGTTAGGAGCATGATTGAGAATCCACATCTGGGTTTATCTGACACGACGTACATTGCGCGCGCTAATTCCCATTTCAACCTTCAAAAATGGCGATTCAAATATTCGAAGGGGTGACGAACAATTTTTTTTCATCAAACAATATATTTACGTTCTTTTTTTCAGGCTGTAGTTTGTAAATAGATATGTAAATTGTAAATAACAAATTAAAATGTAAACTTTTTATGTACATTTTTGAGGGGTTTAATGTTGGGGGTTCCCCATAGGTTTCGGAACTCCGGTATTTCAATTTCGGGACTTCGACTATTTCGGCTTCGGCATTTCGGCATTTCGGCATTTCGATTTCGGTGGAGGGTTTTTCTCCGGGTACTCCGGTTTCCCTCCTTAAAAAACAGTGTCCATGTCTGGGGCCAAGGTTGTTGACCCGGTTTTCGATTGTGAAATAAACCTGTCGATCCTGATAGTACACAAAAATCGTTTTCATGAGTGGTCACTTTGATTATTTGGAGACATTTCAGAATGCTACATAGTGCTACATATCAGATGCGTCTGGCAAAAAAGTACCTATTTTTCGATAAAAATGATAAAGATTAATACGGCTCAAACTGAAAATCTTGCTGCAAATATTTGTTACTGGCCTCTGGGTTCAACTCCCAGAACACTGAGTAATAATCGTGCACTTCAAAGATCTCCGAACAAAATTCTGGTGGCCAATTAGCCTTTCTCACGATGACGAATATGCCACCATTTTGGGGGTACTTTTTAGCAACACTGTGAGCGAATGACTTAGTAACGGCGGCTGCGTTTAATTTTTGGCTGGAGTTATTCAAATATGGTCGGTTGATTATATTTTTTGATCACATTTGAGAAAACGCCGTACCCCCAAAAACGCGTACCCCCAAAAACGTCATCATTAGAAAGGCCAATTAGCTGGCGAACCAAAAGGGGGACGTTTAAAAGCAAAGCTTTTGCAGCCTCAGAAACAGTCGAAAATCCAAATGCTCTTTTCAATGTAGCCTCTCAAAAAGTCGATCGATGAATCATCAACTTCTCTTTACTTCGGGAAGAGTGTAAGGTTATTTGTAGTTCGAAGCCGCTCGAGGAGTTAAATCATACGAAGAGTCGAGTATTATCAGCTTCTTTTGAGGAAGAGGCCGGAGGCTGAAGAGGCGAAAATGATGTAATGTAATTTTTTATTCTGTGCTTTTGATGCCTGATAGAACAACGGGGTGGTCCATGGATCTGATTTTTGAAGACTTAGGCAAATACAAGTTTTACAACCCCCAATGACAAAAAGGGAAATGCCTAGGAAACGAGGTTGAGGCAATTAAAGCTTTGTGTGAAAACTCGGCAAGTTGCAGAGCTAAGATCCAGGGGGCAAAGAAGAAGAACAAAATATGATTAAATAACCTGCCGTGCATGAAGATAGCGGAGATTTTTAAACCAACGTTTTGATTGTCCATAAATGTTTCGTGCATTTTATTTCAAATCGTAAGGTAAGAACTTGTTTCTTTGCATAATTATACACAATCGTAAAGTAAAGTAAAATCTTTAAGGCTCGGACTAGTATTTCTTTAGTTGAATAAATACACGCAATTTTATAGTACTTACAATTCTCTCTGGTTTTTAAGAAAAACCTTAAGTTTGTTTTTCCAAATTTAGTTCGGCCTCACAAAGACTTGAAAATACCAGAAACAAAGTTAAAACCCATAAATTCAGGGCAAAGAATGTCTTACTGCACTCGGACATAGCTGACTCTTTGTTAAATGGTTCGCAAATCAGATCATATCGAACTATATATAAATAAGAAAAGGAAGAAATTATTGAAAAGAAAATTAGTTTAAAATTAGAATATTTAATTAAAAACTAGCCTATTATGCCATTTTCAATTTTTTTATTAGGGGGGAAAAATTTAGGACAAAGTTGTCAGTGTATATTAATAACTTTAGAATAGCAAGTAATGAGTATATATAGAATAAGATATGAGAGTGAATTATTTCGAGTTAGGGGGGGGGGGGTTCATTAGGAAAAAGGGGCATCGCAAAGTAGAAATGTTGATCGTGACCAAGTGGGGAAATTTTTTAATTGTATTGTTTAATTTTAAAATATGTTTTTGTGCTCGGCAGATATTATTGGAATTACGTTCAACAAAGGTTGGCTTACAGACCTGACTAAATTATTAATAAGTCTACATGAGCGCAGAAGTATGGATGAATTTGACTGGAACATTTTTAGTATAAATTCCGAGGTGGCTATCAATTTTCCTGCATTCTGATTGGTGAAGAATGATTGGTTGGAACTAAACTTTATCCGTGTCTTTTATTGTGATACTTCATTGAAATCATTTTCTTGTTGCATGCATCGTGGACATGAAAAATTATATAACCTGTGATGTAGAGAAAAACAACTGACATTCTTGCAGCCAAACCTGTGTTTAGTTTTTATTTTATTTCTTAAAACTTGTCTATATAAATATCTTTATATACTTACAGATTTTTGAAGAAAACAACGATCGAGAGTCAATTATTTCTCATTCATTCCGATATCCATTTAAAGCTCAATACTTACGACTTATGGTCGTGGCAAAATTCTAACCCATGAAGCCCTAATTTCCAAACAAAAATCCGTCACAGAAATGCAAGTAGTATAAGTTGGTTAAATTGCCTATATACAATGGTTGCGGATTTCGAATGTTTCAAAAGTTTAAGGTATTATAAAAATACTGCAATACATTTTGGTATAGAGAAATTTTGACTTGATGGATTTATTAGCCTTTATAGTTACGTGACATATATGATGTCAAATCGGGAGTTTTACAAAACAGTTTTCTTTTGTTTATATTCCACAAATTTTTGATAGCTTTAGAATCCATTGATATATTCAAAAATCGCAAGTTAATGTAATCTCTGTATCTCGCATCACTTGTAAATGTTAAAAAACCTTCCTAAAATTCATAACGTGCAATGACACGCAATGTAAACACAAGCATTATTCTATGAATTTGACAATGTTATAAAATGCTATATATATATTGTATATACAGATCGACACATTAAACATGCAAGTATAATTTTCCGACTTACAGCTAGTTTAGTAATGTTTACCGTATCTTAATTTTTTTAAAATATGAGACTATATAATGGTGCCTCTATCACGCGGCCTCATGCACACATTCCGTTTTCACGCCAAAACAGTCTCAAACACCGTCAATTTAGCTAGAAGTTGAAGGTAATTTAACATATTAAGCATATTTCTCAATTCTCATTGGATCCTGTGAACAAGGCGTCAAAACAATAAAATGGAAAAAGTTTTGGGAACGCTTGAAAACGACGCTCGTGTGCAAATAGCCTAGTTACATTATTTGAGACTTGAAATAGCTTTTTATATCAGAGTTAGTTTGTCGTCATTTGATTCATTTGTAAAATGAAAATGCGGTTCCTCTGATGCTAGTCTGAGGCTGATATATAGCCAATGTATTCTATACTAACCACTCTGAGGGATAATTACATGCACATGCAACACTCTGTTGCATAATAATATAATATGATAGACACATTGGGCTTGTTTTAAAATTAGGTTTCTAATTTTTCACTATGTCCATGTCAACACAGCTGCAACGTTGTTTTTATCTCCGTTCAGTAATTATTCATAATTCAATATTTTATTAAAATTATTTGCCCCAATAAATCATTTACCAAAGAACGATGCCCGAAAGCAGAAAAATATTGTGTGCTATGGCGTTGTGTATTTTATCACTTTTTCTTGTATTTTTAAGTCTTTGTGAAGCGGAGCTAGGTTTAGACAGGCAAAGATTTTTCAAAAAGACGAAAGAGCATTGTAAGTACTATAAAAATTGTATGCTTATAAAATTTAATTAAAAAGATTAAAAATACAGTTATATTTGTCTTGCACTCCTTCAGGTTTTTTACACTAAATCCCCGTTTACACTACTCTCAATTTACTGCCATTGCATAGCTACTAGAAATACATGCATGCAGCATCCCCTTGGCCTTGCCATTTCAAACGAAGCAAAATATTTCCTGAGCTTACCCTAAATAAACCGATAGCTGATGTTTCACGTATTTCGGAAACAAACACAATCGTAAAGGCGAAGTAAAACCACCAGTTTTCCTGCTGCATTTAGCCACAGTTTATGTGAGAGTTAATACTTACTTCACTATAGCTAAATCTTCAAAACATCAAAACAGAACAAATTAAATCGCCAAGCACTAAACGTCGACTGTTTTTTTTTTCAATTTTGAATTTATAATTATGCAATGATTGCAATCGAATCTTTGTAAGCTTGAAAGTAAAATTTGTTTTTTCAAAACTCCGAATTACGGTTTCAAGAACTCTTTTTAAAGTTTAAGCGATGACGTAATCATGTAGAAAGCCCTAAATAGGTTAGGTCATTGCTAAACTTAACGACATACCAAGCCCATACTTATGATTATGAAATGCATTCTTACTGCAAACACGAGATAAACAAAATAGACACTTACTAATTCAAGGATTATAAACTCGAGTCGTGGATCGTCTGTGGTTTCACCAACTGTTTTTGTTTTCTTCTGATAATCTTTTAAACTTTTCTCAGTGTTTGTATAATTTAATTTGATTCCATATTCTATTTTGATCAGAGTAAAATTTACGAAACATGTTTTAAAAATATCTTTTAGAAAAAATAGTTTGCAAAATGACAGTTAATCATTATATGCTGACGTTTTCATTGAAATACAAACTTTTTGTCTTACGCTTAGCTAATCAGCAAGTTGTAGATTACCGTTAATTACTCGTTCAAATTTCACGCATGCGTACAAAAACCATGACCATTGAAGGTCTAATATTCATGACGTTTGGGCAACTTTGGAATCCGCTATGCCCGTAACAGCTCGGGGAAAATGAACACGCGCGTACCCAATTTTCTAGTGCTCAGGGGCCGGTTGTATTAAAGCCGGATAGCATTATCCATCGGATAGTGGATTTTTCAGTCGCTCTAAAATCGTCCGTTGTTGGCTGAAACTTTGATAAAACCTTAGTATTCCTAAATTGAGAATCCTCTTCAATGATTGTTGCTTCGAAAACAAAGATTTTGTTTCAAGGGTTTTGCTCAAGGGTTGAAAAAATTACTATCCGGTGGATATAGCGCTATCCGGCTTTGATACAACGGGCCCCAGGTTAACAATACAAATGCCCGGCACGGATAAAATGGCCACGGGTACCCACTTTAGCCGTGCCGTGTCAATAAGTTGAGAGTAGTGTAGTCTCTTATCCAAAAAATATAAATTTGGCGAAGGAAAGTAATCTGCTATGTTATAAAAGAAAATCATCGTCAAAGATCAGCCGTATAGCCGAGGCTTAAGTAATTGATTATGTTTTTCCCCGTCCCATGCGAGTTTTAAAAGATGCACCATGCAAATCTACGACGCGGACGTGACATGAAAATTGCTACTAGTGTTAGGAAACCATGCAGTATTATTGCACTCATGAAGGCGCGGGTTAACGGACCGAAAGCTTTGCAGTATTAAATACTTACGTGGTGTACTTACAAGCTAAATTACAGTAATAATTTATTTTAGATACATATTTGTTTTACTGACTTTGTTTATGTTTATCAAAAGGAGTCTATAATTTTCATCCCTTTTGGAAAACTGTGGAAATTAGAGCAGTATATTTTACGTCCGCGTCGTGGACTTGGTTAATTTTAAACTCTCTATTGTTAAAAAAATTCATAACTTCAAAGGTTCTTGATCAGCTTCAACAGCTATTCCCGCTCTTTTTTATGTCCTATTTGACTAATGGATATAGCCAAATACTTTAAATTTATCCCCCAAAACAGGCGCCTCATTAGCAGCTGAAGATCTTTTATCAAGTCATCATGTCCATGAAGAAGCGGAATGCTCCTTGAAGTGCCTTGAAGAAGAAACATGTGTAGCTTACAACTACAAACCTAAAACAGCAGCAGACGAAATCAACTGTCAAATTACTAATACTACTTCACAAAAAAATTTGGAAGCTTTTGGAAAGGGAGAGTGGACGTTTTTCCAAGATTTGGAAACATTGCCCGTAAGTACACGACACGTAACATCTTGGTTAAATATATCAGGCATTATATTAACTTTGACGGGCATTGCGGTGTAATTTGCGAGCTAAAATGATAAATTTGCCGGGCTGAAATATATTTTAGCCCGCTGGTCTAAGCCAATCAGAAGAATTACTAAAGTGTTTACCCATTGCATATTTTTTTATTCAAAAGCTGCCCTTTAAAGTTAATATATAATAGTAATACAGTCGATGTTCGTATGTCCAAGAACTTCTAGGGCATAAATGGGACTAAAATAATTAATAGTCACGCTAGCTACGCTTTTTCGTAGCTATAGCGTAAGTTTATTTTTTGAAATCAGACACGCGTGATCTCTTCATTGATAGGCCCAATTTCAGCAGCAAATTGCTGTTTTTTATGTTATTGGCATTATAACTAATTTTGGCAGTGAGTATTGTTAAAAGCAAGATAGATAGAAATTTTGTAAAGTTGTTGCTTTAAAGTAGTCTCCTTTCGTTGGATGAGGAAATCTTGTCACTTTATCTTCTTCCAATCCTGTAGTAGGCCTATTCTCTTTTTTACCATGATACAGCTTGCAAAGAATATCTCGCCTTTTTCTAATTCGTATATACAACAATACACTATATACATGCATAAATTTTATTCCAGAAATTCTTCGACCCATCTACTACCGAGTGGACCCTGATTGCTCGGTTTTCAAATGCTGATACTAAATACTGGATAAAAGACAGTCTCTTTTGGTATGACAAAATCACTCCAGAGGGGGATGTAACAAGTCCGTATGAAAATACGGATATGATTTCTAGTGCTTTTTGGGAGATGGAAGGATGTGAAATCAAGATTAGCAGGAGTGACGATTTCAGTCATACGGCGTTATTAAAGACCACTTCCGACTGTCTTCAAGGTTGGTCTAATAATATTTCGGATAATGCTATGGTTTCCAACCATATATGAATATTTTCTACCCAAAGCGATCCTAAAAATCTAGTCAGACTTCCCCCCTCTTTTTGTAATTATTAAAATCAGGTGTATTTGCATGACTTATTGTAGTAATAAAAATTACTACTGTGTGTAGAATGATAAAATAAGAAACTGTCAATGGATAGAAACATAATTTGAGCAGGTTACTACGTGCGCAAGCACTCTTTTTTAGCATGATCCATACACAGTGGCGTAGTTAACATCGCATGGTGATTGGAGAGGTGTGTGGCATATTCACATATTCATCTTAACAGATTGTAAACATAAATATATGAATAAATATGAGCAATAGACGAGGATATTTAATACTCGGTAGTTCCTTTTCAAAGGTTAAGCTGGTCTAAAAAATATACTAGTTCGTCGAAATGATATGAAACCACTTAATCATGCATAAATCTATTCATAATAGTTTTTTTCACTGAAACTGCAGCTATATTCAAATAGGATGTAATATAGGATGTAATAACATTTATAGTATGCGCGTGCTGATTATTCAAAAAGCGCTTTTCTATAACTGTATTTCTATACAGGACATGCACACGGGAGTTTTCCCGCCGAATTTGACTAGCGAAGCGATGTAATGAAAATTTGTTATTGATCGAATTATAATATTTGTACCAAATCGAGTTGTATCACAAAAGAAATAGAAAACATTTTCTCCTGTGTTACTATAGTTGTTATAGAAACACTTGTGGACTCTATCGTTATAGAAACACTCGATATAACAGGATATATATATATCTATATATATATATATATATATATAATGCAATTCTAATTAGATTTCGAGTATCTATCTATCTATCTACCTTCGACCAACGTTTTTGCAAATGGTTGTATATATATATATATATATATATATATATATATATATATATATATATATATATACACCCATTTGCAAAAACGTTGGCCGCAGATAGATAGATAGATAGATACTCGAAATCTAATTAGAATTGCATATGATTACATTTGCATGGGATTTCAATCATATTACACAACATATGCAATTCTAATTAGATTTCGGGTATCTATCTATCTATCTATCTGCGGACAACGTTTTGCAAACGGGTGTATATATTATATATATATATATATATATATTATATATATAATATATTATATATATATATATCAAACACAAAGTCTACTACGAATCAAAGTATATTTGAATATAAATATTAAAGCTTATATATTAAATTTTCGATTGTATTCCACAACCTTCATCAGAACTAAGGTCTTAGTTCATGGATTTCCCATAAAATTAACGTATGCAGTAAAATCACGTGACTGATATTTACGTATTTATATATATTTCAATATGACAACCTTTTTGATAACGACTATATATATATATATATAATATATTATATATATAATATATAATATATATATATATATATATATATTAATATATATATATATATAGATATCATGTTTATATAAAACATCAATTCTGTTTTCAAGGTGATACATTCAGATCTGAAATCACAGGTTATGGTGACTTTCGAAATTCACCGTGGGGGAGTTCGCGTTGTCTGAAAAGTTGTCCAGTGGCCTATGGCGGTCAGTACAAAAGTACGGCAGGTTTTCAGCATTATAACTGCAGTAGTGATATACAAAGCAGCAATTTCATCGGGTTTTGGTGTCATTGGGGAAGCAGTGGTGCAGTAATGATGATTGGTGGGGGAGGAACAGGCTGTTCTAAAGCAGATCATGGTATTGGAATAACAGAGCGAAAGAATGCAGGTTTTGGTGGTGTAAGAGCTAAGTATGACTTTGGTTCAAACGCTAAAGAAGGCGAGGAGACAACTTCAATTTATTCCCTCAACTTGTGGATATTGGGTAGAACAGGTACCACATGTGCTATACTAGATCCATTAACATGAAACTAAAAAAAACTAGAACTATTTTAACTTACAGGACCCCCCTGAAAAACACTTAGGTGATGGGGGTACGATGGATAAATATAATTATAGAAAAGCTAAATAACCACTCCTACCTTTAATTAAGTCAATAGACTCAATGCATAAAAATGTTCGATTTCCGGTAATTTGCGACAACCTGAACATTTCAGTTGACGAATAAAGATATAAATTATTCAAATTATCAAACAAAACAAAATATTTCCTGACTCAGTAGCTAGACTTATAAATAGCTTATGATTCTTACAAAAATGTTTCAAGAAATGACAATGTGTAGCTGACTCATCTGATAATACACTGGACAAAGCAATTATATAATATAATAAACTTCATGAGCTGTACATCAATCCTAAAGTCATATTATGATACGATGCTGATGAAAAATTATTGACGAATTTGGCTTGGTTCTGGGTCTGCGGAAGTTCATTAATAAGGTCTTCAATTTTTGTAGGTATAGTTGCTATACCCAGTGTACTATCAGATCAGTAGTTAAATTAGAATTTTTTGGCCGGTGAAGTTGTTTTCCAATTAAAGTAGTTTTTTTTATTTTGCCAGCCCAATGTTCTGATCCTAAGGCACTAGGAATGGAAAGTGGTGCAATAGCTAACGATGCTATCACAGCCTCCACCATTTATGGTAGCAATTACCAAGCGTATTTTGCAAGATTGAATCACAATGGCGGTTCGTGTTCATGGACGACTACAACCGCTGCAAAAACGAACTCGTGGCATCAGACCGATCTTGGTCAAAAGACAATTGTAACCGGAATAACAACCCAAGGAACTTGTTATAACCGTGAAGAATGGACGATGTCTTACTCGGTGTCGTACAGCATTGATGGAATTACTTGGATCTATTACAAAGAATTAGGAATTGAGAAGGTATAGTATAAAAGCTTGGTATTTCTTAAATGATTAGTTTCTAAACTGTTAAGAGACTTTTAAATGACATTTTTTTCAGACCGATAATATGCTAGGTCAAACTTAAGTAGGGTTCGTTTTTATTGTCTAATAATGATCCTATACAATTATGGTACATTCTCTACAGATAATGTTGTTTAGTAGCACGATAAAACACGTAGGAATATAAATTTTTTAATTGCCTATGATGCGAAATTCCACCTGAATTTTTGTATTAAAGAGGGGTTTAGGACTAAGGATCCACCATTCTTTCTTCTTGCCAATTTTATTTCAAATTGCTCGGAAACTGGAAAAAGACCTTCCTACACAGCATTGGTTACATGCAGCGCTGCTATCAAGCCCGCTAGCAAAAATTTATTTTGGGATCACTTACTTAGGAGGTTTGTGTAACCGCAGCTGTTTGATTCATTTTCCACATTGAGAACCATAAATAGTCGTAAAATAGACCTAAACTACGTTGTGCTTTCGCAAGGATTCGTTAAGGCGAGAGATCATAAGTGCTGAGTGCGAGCGAAATATCCCGGCTCAAAACCATATAAAGCACTATTACTTTTACCTCTTTTCTACCTTTTAAATTTTTTTTCCGAACGCAAAATCTAAGCTCCCAACGAAAGTGATCCCACAACAAATTTGTGCAGCCCGCTATGGCACCGCCGTTGCACAAAACATCACCCTGCATAACACATTTTAAAACGCAATATTTAGTCTGAACTAAATATTCTTTCAAGAAATAATTATATAAAAACAAATTCGAAAAAAGAATATCGCATATTGTCGGTCGCGAGGCAAAATTTAATGGCGTACAGTAATAGATCTTAATGACGTATCAAGCCGTGACGCCTGCAGAGAATTCTAGATCTGTTTTAAAAAAATTCAAACTTTTAAATTTCCCACCCGAGACTACTAAGACCAGAATCCTTATAGTATACACACAAGAAGCCAGCCTTAGTACATATATAGCTATTACATAATAATCATTGACTTATACATTCAGAAACTATTTTGATAAACACATTACGATGCTGAGTCATGCACTAGCTGACTATATCTTTATTTATAGGTTTTTCCAGCAAACATTGACAAAAGCTCAGCCGTCACGAACACATTTCTCTGCCCTATTCAAGTTCGGTACATACGTGTGTTGCCAAAGACATGGAAAGGTTGGCCTACGATGAGGCTCGAGTATTATGGTTGTCGTCTGTAGAATTTGGAATGAAATTGACACAAAGCGAGGATGCTTTAATTCATGTTAATTGAATTTAGTTTTGTAGCACCCCACTTGTTTGAATTTTAAAACTAGGCTTCAGTATATTTGAAGCATTTTACACGGCCACGAAAATTCCACTAGTTAGCTGTAGTTAAGGACCTTTAACTGTAGTTAAGGACAGAATTGCCAAAACACAGAGATGGCGGACAATGAAGCCTCTCTTGTTGGTATGATCCAGGCCTCTGGAGCGAAAATTTCAAAGGTAAAATGATAATTGCCGCAATATTACCTACTAAATTTCTGCTTGCATGGAGGCCTGGATCATACCTACAAGAAAGGCTTCAAAATTCCGACAAAGTGAGCGTTCCAGTCTTATTTGAGTTCACTGGACCAGTGTCGCTCGTATCATAGCAGCAGCTAAAAGAAAAATTATATAATAATATCGTTCAAAAATTACTCTACGAAATTGATGAACTTCATCGCGTTGGCTCAGCACGATTGGATCGGGAAAGAACAAAAGTTACTCATATATGCATAATAAATAGAAATTCATGGTTGGCGAGTACGTACGATTTCCATAATAAAAATATGGTACAAATGAGCCAATTGATAGTTAATTATTTTTATGGGGTTGAAATCGATCATTTTTTATGTTGTACTTGCCCGCCGGCTGTATGGGGAAGGGGAGTTTTCGATGTTTAATGACGAGTTCTTATTAATACCTGCTTATAGGCAAATATTTCTCATGCATACACCTGTCGGCGAATTTGCAAAGTAATCAAAAGAGGTACTCTTCCAATAATTAGGATTGATATTACGCGTAATGCTTGAAAAATTTGCACAATTTTGTTTACATTGGGAAATTATTTTTTTAATTTTACTGTAGCTGCTGCAATCGAACAATTTTATAAGGGTAACAATAATTTGTGAAAAAGTGCAGATAATTTCGAATCGATAACGTCTTGGGTGATTAAGCAGAGAACTAATGTCTATTCAGTAATATTCACCCAAGTTTGTTCTCTTAGCACAAAAGTTTACGTTGAATTTACACAAAATATTCATGATAGAACATAGTCTTAACGCCCGTCAATTTCCGGTGATTATTGATAGAAGCACACCTGCCGGAAAGAAACTTCAACTGGCTTTGATATTTGTATTTTGCCGTCATATTGTATTTTTTGTCTTCGCCGGAACACCTGTATGGAAACGGGCTAAGAATGGATTCTTTCAAAATATTTATAGAATTGTTAGTTTTATTCGCATCCATATCAAAGCAACGTCTAGCAGACGCATCACTTACCCAGAGGTATTTCAAGAAGGCACATGATAATGGCGAGTACTTTATACTTTGTTTTACATTAGTATACACGAATTGTCGGAATATTAGAACAAATTAGAGTTTACCTTTCAATCCCTGAACGATTCACCAATGTGATGCTCTTTTTCCAAACTGAAATACTGAATAAATTATAAATTACACAACGATATAATTATAAACGTGATCTTTAAACTAACTGGAAATATATATCAACGCTATGACCTTTGCAAATCTAGAATGCACGACAGAGACCATGAAAAATTTGCTAATTGATATTTGACAAAACTATCCAACGTCGACCTGTCCACGATGTACAATTTGGAAGACTCGGAAGATTTGGCACTGCTGCATTGTGCCACAATACCCAGAAGTTAGTTTGCAAGGCGCCTCTCACCGGTTTGGGAATAAAGCCGCGGCCACAAGGGAGATTTTCTCTTTCTAGCGTATGCTATTGTGTGAATTGTGTACACAATTCTATGAGCTTGGCGAAGGAAAGTAATCTACGCTGTTATCTTTACTTACTAGCATGCACCAGGAGAAGAAAATTGCCAAAAGAAAATTTTTTTTTCCCGTCCCATGCAAAAAGCGAGTTTAAGATGCACCAAATCTACGACGCGGAAGTGACATGAACATTGCTACTATACAATGTTAAGGGAGCCAGTATTAATTTGTTTTTGCATACGGCTCTGACTTTTTTTCGAAAAGAGTCTAACTCTAAATATTATATCTCAACTGTAAATCATGCAATCAGAAAGCTCGATTTGTACCATGTGATCAGTAAATTAATCATGGAGATCCATCGAATTTTTTCACATTATGCTATAAAAGTCGAATACCCCGCTGCAGCGGGGTATTCAAGTTTGCATGTACCACGCGTGGATGCCTCGCACACGACTCGAGGTTGTCAACAATTTCAAAATGGAGGCAAAAGAAGCCATTTCACCCAGCTTTTGCGCTGCCTACACGTTGTTTCGATATGATATATAATTTATAGACCTTCCGCTCGGGGAATTCGACGAAATATTACCCCCTCGGGAAGATATATCCCTCGGGCGAAGCCTTCGGGATATATCTTCCCTTTGGGGTAATATTTCGTCGAATTCCCCTCGTTCCAGGTCTATATAGAAATGATAAGTATAACTTTCATCCCTGTTGGAAAACTGTGAAAATTATAGAGCAGAATTGGGCCTTCTTCACGTCTGCCCCGTAGATTTGGTGCATCTTAAACTCACTATTGTAAGAAATTCATATTTTCAAAGGTTCTTGATGTACCTGGACTAATGAATATATAGCCAAATACTTTAAATTTATCTTAAAAACAGGCGCCTCATTAGCAGCTGAAGATCTTTTATCAAGTCATCATGTCCATGAAGAAGCGGAATGCTCCTTGAAGTGCCTTGAAGAAGAAACATGTGTAGCTTACAACTACAAACCTAAAACAGCAGCAGACGAAATCAACTGTCAAATTACTAATACTACTTCACAAAAAAATTTGGAAGCTTTTGGAAAGGGAGAGTGGACGTTTTTCCAAGATTTGGAAACATTGCCCGTAAGTACACGACACGTAACATCTTGGTTAAATATATCAGGCATTATATTAACTTTGACGGGCATTGCGGTGTAATTTGCGAGCTAAAATGATAAATTTGCCGGGCTGAAATATATTTTAGCCCGCTGGTCTAAGCCAATCAGAAGAATTACTAAAGTGTTTACCCATTGCATATTTTTTTATTCAAAAGCTGCCCTTTAAAGTTAATATATAATAGTAATACAGTCGATGTTCGTATGTCCAAGAACTTCTAGGGCATAAATGGGACTAAAATAATTAATAGTCACGCTAGCTACGCTTTTTCGTAGCTATAGCGTAAGTTATTTTTGAAATCAGACACGCGTGATCTCTTCATTGATAGGCCCAATTTCAGCAGCAAATTGCTGTTTTTTATGTTATTGGCATTATAACTAATTTTGGCAGTGAGTATTGTTAAAAGCAAGATAGATAGAAATTTTGTAAAGTTGTTGCTTTAAAGTAGTCTCCTTTCGTTGGATGAGGAAATCTTGTCACTTTATCTTCTTCCAATCCTGTAGTAGGCCTATTCTCTTTTTTACCATGATACAGCTTGCAAAGAATATCTCGCCTTTTTCTAATTCGTATATACAACAATACACTATATACATGCATAAATTTTATTCCAGAAATTCTTCGACCCATCTACTACCGAGTGGACCCTGATTGCTCGGTTTTCAAATGCTGATACTAAATACTGGATAAAAGACAGTCTCTTTTGGTATGACAAAATCACTCCAGAGGGGGATGTAACAAGTCCGTATGAAAATACGGATATGATTTCTACTGCTTTTTGGGAGATGGAAGGATGTGAAATCAAGATTAGCAGGAGTGACGATTTCAGTCATACGGCGTTATTAAAAACCACTTCCGATTGTCTTCAAGGTTGGTCTAATATAGTATTTCTGATCATATTATGGTTTCTGAAACGATATAATTTATGAATACTTTATACCCAAAGCTCCTCAAAATCTAGTTCAGTAAACTGCCCCTCCTAGTATAGATTTTGTAATTATTAAAATCAGGTGTATTTACATGACCGAATCTAGTAATAAAAATTACTACACTGTTGAGAATGATAAAATAAAAAGCTGTTATGGGGAGAAACATAATTACAGCCGCAGTTACTGCGTATATACGCATGAACTCTTATATAGCATGATCCGCAGTGGCCTAGTTAACATCGCATGGTGATTGGATCATTGGAGAGGAGTGTGGCATATTCACATAAATATATTTACATAAATATATGAATAAATCTACGCCACTGATAGGCCGAAACATTTCACCAAAATATATCATTATAATGAGATCATTATTGAAACGCTTGGAAACGAAGTTACAAAACCATGATGGCGGAAAGTCCGGAACGTGAAGAACCAAGTCCTGAAAGGTTATAAAAAGAGTATAAAGTGGAGGGAAATGTTCATTTGCACCAGTGAAACCTAGTCTAAACGGTCCTAAAAACGTGGTCATGAAATGCTTACAAACTCGTATCCAGGTCCTTTACCAAAAAGCAATATTTTTATCACTAAGTTAATTTTTCATTGCAAAATTTCCAGCTAGCTAGAATAATTATTTTCAGAGATGACATAGAGAATCACGAAACCTGAAGTCTAAAGTATGTAATATATGTGCCCTGGCTATTTGAAATTATTCGAAGAAATGAAACGAGGATATTTATACTCAGTAGTTCCTTTAATCCTTTTCTAAGGTTAAGCTGGTCTACAAAAATATACTTGTTCGTACAAATGATATGAAACCACTTAATCATGAATAAGTCCATTGATAATAGTTTAATTTATTCACTGGTACTGCAGCTATATTCGAAATATGATGTATATTGTTAAAACAGAACGATTAATATTTATTATAATATCACATATACATTATAGTATGCACGTGCTGATTGGTCAAAAACCTTATTTCAATAATTGTATAGAATACACGGGACTTTTCCACCCGAACTTGATAAGTGAAGCGATGTAATGAGAATTTGTAATTGATCAAATTATAATATTTGTACAAAATCGAGTTATATCATAAAAGAAATAGATAACATTTTTTCCTGTGTGTTCTATAGTAGTTATAGAAACACTTGTGGACTCTATCGTTAT